CTTGGAGTAAATGAGAATGTCATCAATGTACACAAAAACAAAAACGTTGAGAAAGTCTCTGAGAACATCGTTAACAAGGGCCTGGAAGCAGGCTGGAGCGTTGGTTAGTCCAAAAGGCATAACCAGATATTCGAATTGGCCCAAGGGTGTCTTGAAGGCAGTTTTCCACTCGTCGCCTTCACGGATCCTAAGGAGATGATAGGCATTTCTTAAATCCAGTTTAGAAAAAACAGTTGCACCCTGTACGGGCTCAAAAGCAGAGGCGAGAAGAGGCAGTGGGTATTTGTTTTTAATAGTGATCTGATTCAAACCTCGATAGTCAATACAGGGTCTCAGGGAACCATCCTTTTTTCCTACGAAGAAGAACCCGGCGCCCAATGGAGAAGATGAAGGGCGAATAATTTCAGCAGCTAATGATTCGTTGATGTACTTCTCCATAGTTTCCCTTTCGGGCTTGGAAATGTTATACAGTCTACTGCTAGGTAAGGGAGCACCAGGTAACAGTTCAATGGCGCAATCGTATGGTCTATGTGGAGGTAGGGACATCGCACTGACCTTACTGAAAACAGGGGCGAGATCATGGTACTCAGGAGGAACTGAAGAAAGGTCAGGAGAGTCCATCTCCCCCCCACCTCTAGGAGAGCCCACCAAGGGAGCAGCTGAACGCAGGCATGTTTCGTGGCATGAGATGGACCATGATTCCAGGTGACGTTTGGCCCAGTTTATGTGCGGATTATGCTTCTCCAACCATTGGAAGCCGAGCACCAGCGGGGAACATGCAGAAGGAAAAACAAAAAATGAGATAGTTTCTTGGTGGTTACCTGACAGAAGTAGCTCAAGGGGCTGAGTTTGATGGGTGACTTGATGGAGTCTTCTTCCGTCAATAGCGGATACTCTGAGAGGCTGAGTCAGCGGAATAGTTTCGATTTGGAGTTGCTGGACGAGGTTAGAATCGATTAGGTTACATTCACAGCCTGAGTCGATGAAGGCAGAGAAGGAAAGACTAGCGCAGAAAAGCGTGGCAGGCAGCAACAATTGAGGAGATTTCTTAGAGTTTATTTGGCTTTTGACTGAGCCGGGCAGGCAGCAATGAAGTGACCACTCTCACCACAGTAGATACATAGCTTGCTTAACAAACGCCTTTGTCTCTCCTCTGGAGTGAGCCTGGTGTGTCCCACCTGCATGGGTTCTACATCTCCTTCGCCCGAATGAGAGGCTTGAACGGGCAGCGGTAGAGACTGGGGCTTAGACCTCTGTACGGGCAGCTGCTCTCTAGAGGGAGAACAAACAGTCACGTTATGTGAGGCAGAATAAAGTGTACTCTGCTTCCTGGAACTGTTTCTGGCTCGTATTCTATTATCTAATCTGATGGAGAGGCGAATTAACTCTTCGAGGGTAGCTGGTTCGTCGAGGGTTGCGAGTTCATCTTTAATGTGCTCGTTTAATGCCATAAAAAAGGCTCCTTTCAAGGCACTTTGGTTCCATCCGGAAGCTGCCGCTTTAACCCGGAAGTTAATCGAGAATTCAGCCACCGAAGAGTTTCCCTGTTTAAGAGTGAAAAGAGCTCTCGAATCAATAGTTTGGTCAGTTTCTTGGTTGAAAACCTGGGTAAATTCAGAAATGAAGTCAGAGTAGTAACAATTTAGGCTGTCGTCAGCAGAAAATCTTGCCTGAGCCCATTCCAAGGCTCTTCCTGTTAACTGAGAGAGAATGAACGTTATCTTCTTGAAATCCGTGGAAAAACAGCCAGGGGAGTTCTGAAAAATTAACCGGCATTGAAATAAAAATCCCTTGCAATCTTTCATGTTGCCAGAAAAATTTTCAGGGAGACTAGGGCGGAACTCTGAAGACGTCACTTCCGGTGACCTCGGAGGAGGAACTGGACCCGGAAATGGTTGTGATACAGCATTAGCGCTGTTCAGATAATTAGCACAGCTCTGTAGCATTTGGTTATGAGAGTCAACTAGACGGTATAACTCACGGAGCGTTTGAGTTTGTCCCTGAATCTGGGCATCCTGCTCCTCCAGTCGACGGGTGAGGTGATCTGCTGGGCCTTGAGTTAGGCCGCAGTGTTCTGTCATGATGGGTTCACTGGAAGCGACCCAAGAATGCAGAACACCACTGACGGACACAAGGATAAAAGTTTAACAGTTTTATTGATGCACAAACACACAGAATGTACGGGTTCTGGTTCGGGGCCTGGGTTCAGGTTCACTGGAGTCTGCGTGAGAGACAGTTCAGTTAGCGTAGCCAACAGTGGTTTGATTTCCGGATGCTACTGATTGTACCTTGAGGGTTCTTGAGGTTTGTCTTGGGAGAGTCTCTGTTGGTTCTGGAGAAGAGTTCATAAGCAGAGTCCGTTAGCTGCTTCAGCGTCTCACGTCTAGTTTGAACAGACCTTGGCTTTGGGATTCCCAGCTCTAGTCCAGAGCTGCTTGGGGGTTCTCTGTGAGTCTTCAGGTTTGGCTCAGAGGGTCGGCTCGGCAGGTTAGCTCTTCCAGAGCTTTCACAGAGGAGGCACAGGTTTCCTGGAAAACAGACACAGGGGTTAGAATCCAAGCTGGATTCAAAAGTCATAGAATTACTCTGAGGATCTAGGCTTAAGCGCTGACCAACTGGAACAACACTGCGGCGTTGAGGCAAGGTCTGAAGACAGCTTAAGTAGTGGATCCTCTGATGATCTTGACGAGCTGCAGCTGTGCATGAGGCTCCCTCAGAGGATCCACGGCGGACTCTGCTGGAGAAAGGTGGAATTTCTCCAGCTCCCAACAGTGCACAGCTCAAGGAGGCAGGTGCAGACCACACTGATCTGCTGCTGCACACCGACGTCAGGTGGCTGAGCCGTGGCAGGTTCTTTGAAAGCTTTTTGGAACTTTTGCCCGAAATTAAAGAGTTTCTGAAACAGCCAACAACCCATTCTGCCGTATGTTACATCTTCACATCCACATAGTTCGTACTTAGTATTTTCCTATTTTTATCTGTTTTACTGTTGAATTTTAATCCATATGCCAGTTTCTCTGCCAATGCCAATGCCCAGTGAAGTTTATCATTCTGTAGAATCTACAGGATACTAGTCAATATGTGATTTGATGTGTAAAGTGCAGTTTGAAAAAAAGAAGAAAAACGAATCCCTGTCCTTCAGTTAACACAAATTCTTGTGTAATTATTGCAAAAGAGGATTTTTCAGAATGCTGACTGTCATAAAATAACTGTTTTTTGCAGATGTTTGCATTGCAAGGGATATGTATAAGTGGAAAAAAAAAACAAAAACTGATACATTTAAACCTACATTTTCTGAACCCAACACTCCCCATTGGGAAGAAACCTCTGGCACAACCAGGTTCAACATGGCGGTCTTCTGCCGGACCAGTTAAAATGAGATGTAGAAAATAAGAGTCTAGGAGGAATGAAACTCCTTTAGCTGAAACTGTCTTAGCTACGATGGTGGAGGAGGGGCTGGAGGTGGTTTGAAACAGGGTCACCTGAATGAAGTCAGATACAGCACAACCACAGCCTGCGCACTAGGTAGCAGACAGGTTGTGGACCAGATGCCTTTTAAGATGAACTCTGGATGCTGATTGGCTTTTGTGGAGGCGTGGTTCAAAACTGATTGCCTGTACAGTATCATAGGCGGATGAAGGTGAGTAATCAGTTTATTCAGTTGAACTCCATTTCACAGTAAAGTGCACAACAAAGTTTTCTAATTTATTTTCAGCAATATTCAAACTGACAGCTCAAGGAAACTCAATTACATATGTTACATATTAATAACACTTATAAAACAATGTAATTGGTAAGACATAAATGTATAACATAAATGTATAACACACATATATATATATATATATATAGAGAGAGAGAGAGAGAGCGAGAGAGAGAAGAAGGATTGATATTTTTATTACGAAGATTTCCATTTTAGAATTAAACTTTAAAAAGCAACATTCTCAATGAAAAAAAATCATAATATTTTAAATATAAAACTTTTTTATTGAATATACATCTTGAAGAAGCACACACTTCAAAATATCTAGTTTAAATTTTTGAAAGCTAAGATCAGTTTAAGACACTGTAGTCTAGACTTAAAACTAAGAAATGGGCATTACAACTTTATCTTATCAAGGATGATTAATTTTTAAAAATACTAATGGAAAGATACTTTTCAATCAGTTTTTTACTGCAGTATATAATACATTTCTGATGCATTGCTTTTATTACATTGTAACCAAGTAACAAATTTTTTGATAGTTTTTAATATTTATATGTTTTATATTCACAGAGGGGTTTATACCATTTTCAATCAGAGATAAATATTGAGTTGTTTTGATAATAGTTTTAATCTGAATATGCCAGGGCTATGAATAATTTAGGTTTAAAATAATTTGTTGTGTATAATGGCTTTGTGTCAACAAAACTGTTCTTTTCTTCTTTTGCTTGCAACCTTTTGTACAGTGTTCAAAATGTCTTTTTTGAAGATAAATCACTTCTATTATGCAAAATTGTTTTATCATAACTTGTATTGGGACCTTTTGTTTTAAGACACGTAGCACTTCCCTTTTTGTCTAGCATTCTTACCCCTCAGTTCCTCTGGATGTGGAAGCAGTGCATCAGAGGCTTTGTGAAGCTGTGTCATGTCGTTTCCCAGGCATGCTTTCAGAGATGAGGAACTGAAAACACTCTGCTCCAGATTTGATTCAATTTGAACTGATTTGATTCCATTTATATTGAACTTAGTATTTTTTATGAGATGCCAGTTCATAACATGTCATCTAAATGTATTTTACAATGAACATTTAATCAGAGACAACTTAAATTTGATATGTTGCTGATGGAGCGACAATGTCTCTTGGCTGCCCTGGGAACACTTTGGGCTTCCCCCAGCAGAGCTGGGGTTAGTAGAGGTTTGCGAGTCAAGCCCCTGTGAAACAGCGCTGCCTGAGGGGCAGCAAATCAGCTTTCAGATCCAGAGAACCCATGGTGTTACAAAAGTTTTAGGACCTTTTTTTCCATAAAAACATTTACAGAAATTGCAACAGTTTTAGCAATGCTACATGTTATTGTTATGTATGTTCTTACTATTTTTCTATTCTTTAATTATATAGTTATCACAGGCTGAGTATTATCTTCATCTGCATCCCCCACCAGTTTTTTACGATCTACCAAATCTGGCTGCAACCCGGTGTTCCTAAAAAGTGGGTTGTCAAAGGCAGTTAAGCCTCCAGGGAGTGATATGGGTGCTATATGACGGCCAGACTTCTTGAACAGGAAGAGGGCAAAGCCAGCTACCACTGCAGTCCCAGCAATGACTAGCGCAGCTATTAAACCTGGGTGAACCCGACCTTCAAGAGGTTTGTCAACACCTGTAAAAATTGAGAGAGTAATTAAGGAGAAACAAAAGATAATTTGGCCAAATATTGAATACTGAATTTGGAAAAAGAATGACATACTTGGTACTGATGATGACACTGGTGGTAATACTGTAAAGAAAAGTGGACATAATCCAAAAGTACACAAATTAAAAATCATTTTCAGTTTAATCAGTTTAAACACCAGAGTTATAAACAATTGTTACAAAACTAAATGAAGAAGATCAATATCATCAATGTTTTTTAAACTGTGTATAAAATGCTATTCGGGTTTTTCCTGTTTTTTTTTTTCAGATGATCTAATATAGCTGGAAAAGACTTACATCCTTTTTCTAAAATTATAGAGAGCTTGCACTTTCTAAAATGGAGATTTCCACTTTTATATCTACTTATCATTAAAACATTTAAATAGTTAGTTTACTCACAAATGTAATATATCAATTAAATCTGTTAATGTAAAAAATCCAAACAACAAGATAGATACATGGAAAAGAAAAATATTAAATACAGGAAGCATTCATTTTCAATTATTTTAAATATGTTCTATGTGCACCTATATGTCCTTTTATACAGCATAAATATCCTGTTTCAAAATATCATAAAGACAGAACCTTTGATGTTTAAATTCTAAAAGCATGTACAAAAGTTTATTACTTGTGAACTGAAGAGCAACAATAATATCAAAAAATAATATTAAAATTAAAATATGATTAATCTGTCATGATTCTGATGTGTTAGTTTTAGGGTTTCTATAGTGCTTGTTTCATTGTGTCCCTAGGTTTTCATTTTTTTGCATGGGCTTGACATACCTTGTTAACTTTTGTGTTTATTATTATTTATAAGGTTTTTCTAAATTAGTTACTTCCTTTTAGGTTAGATTTCTTAGTTTTGTCTGTTCTTAGTATATTTTGAACCATTCTTGTTAGTTTTTGGTTAGATTGTTTCCATTGGTTTGATTGCATGCAATTGGTTTGACTACATGCAATTATTAGTCTTCCTTAGTTTTCATGGGCTCCTTCCTCTACAGGTAATTGAAATGATTCCCTTGGAGATGCATCTGTTAGTTCTGCTGTTCCTGCGTTCAATGACAGAGAGTGGATTTGCTATATTTGCTGTGATAAGTGGGTAAAAAAGTAGTTTTAGTATATTTTTATGTGGAAGTCCACCTTAAAAATACCGTCTGTGCAGTCAGTTCATCAAGATTATGCTCATGCCTTAGAATATTATTTCCCTGTCAGAGGCACGCAGACCCCCACATAGCGACTCTGCGCTTTAATTCGGAATCCCCAGGAGCAGCTACCTCAGCCCCGATTGTCTCTTGGGGATTTCCCCAAACTGCAGGCACCAGGATAATAAAAGTAAACATATTTTGCCTTAGTTGACATTTTAAGTTAACTTAGGCATTAATAAACAGTTTCAGTGAAGTGATCATAGCCCTCCACATCAGCAGTGCTGTGCCCATCACCCTGCCAGCTCGCAGATCAGCTTCTCTGATTGGTTGATGTGGTGTGTCAAGCTGCAAAAGTTAAATTCTTCCAACTCCAGCATCTGCTGCTTGTGACATTTTGAATATTTGAGCGAAGTTTCCGGTGGAAAATTATGGCTTACCAAAGCGTAAATCCCCAAAACAGGGCATATTATTTCTATAATTTTTAGTAAAGGGCATACATACACACATATGTACGCATGTGCCCATCGCTAGTTAAAAGCCTGGTAGAGCAGAGACACAACAAAAATATGTTGGATAATTGGTCCTGAGAACCAGGATTGAAAATTACTGGTTTGACCTACTGAATTTGTTAATCTTGCATAGACAGACTTTTTACACATTTTACCATGCATTTTAAATAGTTTTAATAGTTTAAATGTATTAATGCCAAGTTTTTGGAGTTAACTGAATTTTCATGTAAGATAACTTTGACACCTATTAATAGACATACAGTCTGGATTCCTTTTGGGCATACCAGTTCTTGAGACGGTATTTTTTTTAAATATCAGCATGCAGTCTGTGTGTGATAAGAGGTTAATATTGCTCTAGATTCCAAAGGTCTAATTATGACATTATGAATTCGCATAGAATATAGCAATTCTTGTATTCAGAAGGATAAAAGATGTATACAGTAAAACATTCAATAAACTAAATAAAGCTATACTAAGTATTAGACATTTTATTAATATTCCACTGAATATTCTTAGAAGACTGATTGAACTAAAATACTTGGAAATCAGATTAAATACATAGTTACATTTTACCTTTAGCAGTTTTGCAAATGTATGCCTTATCATGCCACCGATGCCCTGTAGACCAGGACCCATCCGATGCACTAATCGAACCATAGGGATTATCACGAGGTTGACCACTTTGCCAGTTGGAATAATCCATAACTGTTTTATCCGACCACAGCCATTCTCCTGGAGAAATAAATGTATTTATGTTGTTATCATTTATGCTTTAATCTACAAAGGACTCATGGGTTTTAAAAATAGATTTCTCATCCCAACCACCAGATTCATAACAAAAAAAAAAAAAAAAAAGAACAGCAGTTAGTTATTCATTCAGGATTTCTTATTTTAAAATGCCTCACAATTTTACAATTTTACTGTAAAATAAAAAAACAACAATACCTTTATGAGTTTTGAATAGCCCGATCCAGTATGATGTGTGCGTGTCTTTAAATGTTCCAATGTTGCTTTGTATGAATTCCTGTTCATGGGGGTCTGCGATGCTGGCAAGAACTCCACCTTACAGTAACAAAACAAACCAGTCATTATGTTTGTGGGTGCCACTTAAATGTAACCTACTAAAAAATAACTTATGCTGAAAATACCTACCATGTGCTAAACAGCTGGTAGATGCATCTGGCCACTCTTTCTCATCAGAGAAAAATAAGTAACAGAAACCTCTGTAAGGTTTCCAGAAATTGCGCCGCAGAGAGGTACCTTGATCTGGGTCCTCTGGACAAATTCCGGGATAGTCCTTTGTGTCATCTTTTGGTGGTGTGTCTGTGTGTTACATAAATGGGGTTAAAACTGATCCAAAATTACTTTTAAAAATTTCAATAACATATAAATAACTAAACAGCAAAAGTTTCCTGGGATGTAGGACTTTGCCCTGAAACTCCAGGGTTGTTGGTTCAAGCCCTGGCTCCTGCTTTTAATGTTGTTGAGTCCATTTCACCAGCATTACCTACTCATGGTGGTCAGATGCCTTGGTGGTGCCGGCGTACGGCAGCCTTGCTTCTATCAATGAGTCAGGACAGTTGTGGCTACATTAGCTTGTGTGCATGAATGGGTGGGTGTCTGAATGTAATGTAAAGCACGGGTCAAGACTCCTGACACGAAAAAGCACTATATACACTGAAAAGAATTTAAAGTATCATTTACTAGAAAACGCTAGGTAACCTTTTCCTCATCGAAATTCTTTAGTAATTTTACTCAATAAAATCTAAGTTGATTTTACTGACTAAGAAGAAATGATCTGACCAACTCAAGAAGATGTTGCTACCAAATGTCTCTTCTCGGTTATGATCTGGCATGATTCCTCCTCCTTAATTGTTTATTTCATTCACCTGCCACTCCCTTCCTGCCGTAATTATCATTTATTTCATTCACCTGTTTTCTCGACTTTATATTCAATTCAGCCTGAGCATTTGCGGTCAGATCATTGTTTGTTTTCTGTTTCTTTTCTGTTTTAGGCAGTTAGTCAGTTTTTCTAGTTCTTTTCATGGTTCCTAGCAGCCAGTGGAAAGAGAGGGTTTTGTGTGTGTCTTGTCTCCTAATCGTGTCCTGATCCTTCCCCACGGAGTCCTCAGGGTTTTGGCTCAGTACGCGGAGAGGATCAGTTTTATTCCCGTAAGCCTGGCTCCAAGGAGGAGACCAGTTTAAAGTTCTGCTCATCCTGGTTCAACATCTTGTCTCTGTTACCCTCAACCACTGAGCCTGCCCGTCTGCATTTGAGCCTGTTCTGTATCTGTATGTGACGCTTGGTCCCGCTTCTGGATAGGGTTGTCACGATACTAAACTTTTCAACTCGATACCGATACTAAGGAAAATATTCGATACTCGATACCATTTTCGATACCTCAAGAATAAAAACTCCAAATTTCAAAAGAAATATTTTGATTAATAATTAAAATACAATAAATAAACACAATAAACAATAAGCACAATATTTTGAGGTTGTATGCTGTGCACAATATTAAGCAAGCTTGATAAAAAAACTTATTAAATTAAAATTAAGTTTTCCTTACTTAGCTATGCTTTACCCACATAACAATGACACTAGCCAAACCAGTTAAGAAACAAAAATAATTCTCAGCAGCTGCACCTGTTACAAAAAAAGTCTGAAACTAAAAGTTGCAAAGAATTATTCAATCACACAGTGTTCTGAAAGTGCATTGTCCTCTATTCTGCACTTTAGATGAATGACTGTGTAGGTGCCACTGGTGGTGGCACTGTATCGATACTTTTGAAAATGAGTATTGTATCCGGATACAACGTTTCAGTATCGATACTTTTTTGAGTATCGATACTTTTGACAACCCTACTTCTGGACTCTGTCGGACTCTGAACCTGCCTGGTAGCTCTGAGGATTCCTGGAAGCCTGGATCCAACTGTTCCTGTCTGGTCTGGCTTCCCCTGACTCGGCTTCCTGCCAGTCCTCCAGAGCTGCAGCACCGGGGACCTTGCGGTGAATACTGGGTCCATCTGTCCCTTTTATGACATTAGCAACTAAGATGTACTTTTGTTTTGCTAGTAAATTTTACTCATCTCATTTTATTCATTTCCAAACCTTTTCTATTTCTGAAACTATAATGAGTCTAACATTTGTGGAGTTCTGTTTGAGTTTCTTTTTAGTTTTTCAGTTCACTTCGATTTGTGTTCTGTGTATTCTTGTTCATTGGTTTCTTTTCCATTTTGTTATATTTAAGCAATGTCGTATTTGTATGTTGCACACATTTATCTCCTTGTGCCAATCTCCTTTCCCTTAGCTCCTTCTAGTTACTTCTGTCTACACATGCTCCCTACAAGTGAATTACTCCTCCCATTGTTTCTGTCTCGCAGATACACCTGTTGAGTTACTCCTTGCTGGTTCCTTGTCGTTTCTTGGCCCCTTTTGTGTGTTTTCCCTGACGTCTTCTGGTTTTTGGTTTTGTATTTTTTTGGGATTTTTACTTCTATTGCTATGTTTTGGTAATTAAATCTGCAAGAAACCACCTCAGCCTCCATCTCTGCATTTGACTCCTCTGAAAACCTCCACTCAAACTGAACTCAACATGGTCAGGCAAGGAAATAAGCACCAAGTTTACTCCTAATGTCCAAGTACATTTTACTTGCATCTGTTAAGTTGGGAATTTAAATTGTTTTACGAACATTATTTGGTAAGAATAATAAACTCAAACACATTAAATAAAATGCGTAATTTTGAAGTAAAGGCACTTATATGGTAATTTGCAGTAAATTTGAAATAAAAACCAAAATACTATTTACAGGACATAAACGTCAAATTCTTTCAGTGTAAGTACAGCCCATTTAAATAAAGGAGAATGTAAAGAGTTTATGTCAACTAATTAAAGGATGCACATTGTTTTCATATTTGTCAAGTGGAAAGAAATTTTCCTTTACCTGTGGACTTCATGCAAACGCTGCTTATGTTCCGATTGCAGTTATCAGCTTTCCATTTTCCATCTACATCAACATAGACACAATTTCCTTCTCTACGTGGTTCTCTTGGACCCCAGTATGCAGATGTCATTGGCCAGCCTTCAGTGTATCTGAAGTAGTTATTAGTCTAGAAGCAAATAAAAAAAATTAAAATTTCATCAAAATTATTAAAATTGTAGAAGATATTTTCACACAAACTTCATCAATATCACTGTCAGATGACCAAACATCACATGACCTTAGTCCTCTCTGGCTAAGAGGACAAAGCTTCATAAACATGGTATTGCCACAACATTAATTCAAATCAAAAACATTGTTTGAAACCTGTCCCAATCTTATTTACACTTTATCTTCCTTTCATTTTTGGATAAAGGTTTTCTGTGCTATTTGCTTGTTCCTCCAAGTCATGAACTTTCAAAATCAATTCAGCCTGAGCATTTGCGGTGGTTTTAAAGATCCCCTCAAAAAAGTGTAGCAAAACCTATGTGGATATTGATTCCAATGGCTTTACACTGGGCTGGAATAGAAACTGTCCGTCTTACTGACATAATGACAGAGAGAGTATGAGGGGATGAGAGACTCCCAAATTGCCATATCAACACACAGATTACCATAACAGGGGCTTAGAGGATGAAAAACGATAGTAACAATATTAGTACTCCTTTTTAGGTTCTGTCCCTGTAACCATGTCATGACAGCATTAGATCTTACCAATTTGAGCAATTCATTAGAATCTACAAAAATTTTGTCTGATATCAAAGGATCTTAAGCCCATACCAGGGCTTTGTTGAGTCCAATCCATAGAGGACGATTGAGATTCAAAGCCAGCAGCTCAATGTAGGCCTGTGTCCACTCAGTTCGAATGCTAGCCAGCTTGGCACCATCAGCCTCACAGTTCTTCTGAGCTGCATCCCAGTTCATTTGCTGAGGAACAAGATTGATGGAGTCATTAATTATTTTGAAGTAGTCGTCAAGGGTTGTTGGTTCAGAGGGATCCTGTAGATTTGGTTCTGTTTTAAAATGGAAATGAAAAATACATTTCTTTTTTGTTTGTTTTTACATATAATACCCAAAAACATCATAGCAAAAAAATTTATTTTAGGAAGCTGTTCTTTTTTGGGGGCGAATGACATCAAAACTTTCTAAAGAAAACATTCAGTTCTCAAAGTTAAATGATTGATATCTGACAAAGAGCTAATTTTGTTTGTCACTTGGAATTTTCTTCTCATAATTTACTGCTGCTTTATGTCTTAGCTGAAACTGAAAATTAATAACAAGGCAGAGAGAATTCAGTTAAACCCTGACTGAATTCTGATGGCCGAACACATAGGTGGAGTTATTCAAATTAAAATTGCCTTTCATTATTTGAGAAATGAAAGCATGATCAACTTTAAAAGTGTTTTATCTTACCAACATCTTTTAGACATACAAATCCATTGGTGTCATTGCATGACTTGGGTATCCATTTTCCAATACCAAGTGAAGGATTAGTGTTGATCACTGCGCATTCTACATCCTGTTGGACACAACCATAGAGAGACGTAGTTTTTAACCAAACATTTACTGAGTTAAGTATAGAAATGTAAAAAAATTCCATTTAAAAGAGCACTTACCTCAGAATGAAAGATCCGAAAGTACTAAAAAAATTCCAAATATTGAAATTGATTAAAAAATAGTCTTGATATTTTTGATCAAAAATAGTGGCTATTTAATTTAACTTTGAGTTTAATAGCTAAATGATTTGGTTCAATAACATGACATGTTAGGTAGTTCTCATCATTCTGTGTCTTTGACTTATCCATGGTCAAATACTCAATGTAACACATGCAAAACAAAATGAATGGTTTGTTTCTGACATACATACAAGTTTGAAATTCCCAAACCATAAAAATAGTTTGAAGAACAGGAGGAAAGTAAACATTGCTGTAATATAGCATATATCTTTATCACAATTTTAATCAATAGTTTGGCGGTGCTTGATTTCTTTTCTTATTGTCAAGAATTCTCCTCCTAATTGGATGTGCATGAAAAATTACTATAGAGTTTGCCCCAGGAAGTATATTGGGTAGATCGACTAAAATCACAAAATAATGAGAAACATCATATCTACTCTGCTTTGGACTTTACCTTTACCCCCTCCATTGTACGTCCTAAACTAGGGCCTAAAGGTGCCTACAAAGTCACATTATTTGCAAAAGAAATATCTTTTCTGTGCTTAAACCTGTGAAGTTTAGAAAGACTGTTATGGCCTTCAGTAAAATAAGTCCATACTTGTGTCATGGAAGGATCATTGTAATTCTTTGTCCTCTGTAAGCCCAAAATGTATGGACAATTCGTAAGCTCATTCCAAATTCATAATTTATGTACAGACTACATTGAAAAATATTCAAATTAAATTCAAAATATAAGTCTTTGACTTATAGACCCTTTTTCTGCCAACATCACAGTAACCCAAAAATTGTAGCTGGAGACAAAACAAACCAACAACTGGAGGTAAAAAAAAAACACTACAGGATAACCTATACAAGAGGCTTAAAATTGCATCTTGTCACTTTTATTTAATACCCGCTGCCACAGCGATGCAATAACCAGGAAGGTTAAGGTAAATGAAGCATTGTGTATCATTGGTTTGACTGTGATTTGGTTAAAGGTATTGTGGAGAATTTTTCATGCATTTTTTAAAAGACCCGCCCTCTCTACTATTAAAAAATATGTGCTTGGAAGAGCATGCACAAGCCCATTTCTCCTTGTGCATGTTCTATTTAAAAATTGACCAAACTTCCGCCCGAAACCCTAAATCCCTCAATCACTATATAGAGCGGGGACTATATAGTGGACTTCATAGCAAACTCAGTTAAATCACTGTTCGAACAGATGATCACTGCTTTTTTGCCCTGTTGGTCACGTAACTCCTCCACCTCTGTGCGGCACCTGTGCCATCTTTGTTATAAGTCGCTGCTGTCAGACAGTGACAGCCTATGGTGACAGCGGGTCGCTGTGACAGCAAAACAAATAATGCTTTGCGAGGAGATCTCTTCGCACAAAGCATTCCAGGATTTATCTGCCTCTTCTGAGGCCTTTCTTTTCTTCTCATACACTTCGTAGACACTTTTTCTCCTACGACTCTCTGCCATTTTTAAAGAATCGCAGTGAGAAAGGTGAGCTTCAGGGACTGTCGGAAACCGTAGCTCACCACACATATATATACGGCTGAAAGTGCACATGAGAAAAAACAAAAAGCTAGCTAACTGGGCGAGCACGTAGGACGGCCTTACGTAAAAATATCACCAGAATGATTGAGAATTAGGAGGACCACTTATTTAGATGATCCACCCGGAAATAACAGATTGTCCTCTATATTTAAAAGGAGAAAAAAAATCAAACAAAAGTTTCTAGATACCATTGTTTAAGTTTTCACACAGTTTTTTGACCAGCCCTCTGCAACAGTCACTATTTAAAATATGGCCTGTTTGAGTAAAAGAAACTGCCAACACCTGGTGTTGTCAACAGTGGCACTCAGCTTTGGGTAATTTCCTTCTAATGGTGGATGGATGGATGGATGGATGGATGGATGGATGGATGGATGGATGGATGGATGGATGGATGGATGGATGGATGGATGGATGGATGGATGGAAGAGAGCAACTTACCTGATCTTCATAGTCCTGAAAAAGCCAACACATTTTGAATCATCATAAAAGGGCTTTGAAATCTTACAACAAACATAATTAATAATAATATATTATTATATTATCATAATATGTTTTTCTCAGTGGTACAGATTAGGTATTGACCTTGATTAAGTAATAAACATATATTCTTTATTAGGTCAACTAGGAAGTTTTGCTCTTCTGTTATGTAGGTGGTTGTTAAAATTGTGAAGTAGTAAGAGACATGTCTTGGAACCATTAGTTATGCATAAGTAAAGGTGAGTGCTTTGATGTTACCATAAAAGGGTCTCTGTGACGTAAGAGTGTATATCGATCTCGTACCTATAAGGGAATACAAAATGTTAATGTTTTTTTGTATATTAATCTAATAAATGGTTTAATTTGATTTTTTTCAAATTAACAAGTAAAGCTGAAAATTTTTACATCACCCGATAGCGTAAATGGGGTGGAAATCTAGAACGTTCCTAAAATAGAAAACAGAATGTTACATCTTTTAATTGAACTTTAATTGAATCAATCAAACGCTATTTCTGACACTTTGAATTGAAAAAGCTTCCTGGATGGGAAGCGAAACACATCTTTAAACTAACATAGTCCAGTGGATTGTTTTTTATTTTTTATTTTTTTTAAATACATTACAAGTGCTTGTTTCAAATAGAAGACAGAAATCACACAACAATTACTTACAGGAAATTTGAGGTTGATGTATTTCTTTGGCCGTCCATCAGTCCAAAAAAATCCCTCTTTGTAGGAATTATGAAAACCAATCCACAGGTCTGTAGTTGGAGTGCTGACCATTTCAGACATTAAATACACTAAAAAACAGATAACAAAATTTTGATCAAAGATAATCAAAAATTTCTTTTAAAAAGAACAAAACATTTCTGTAAAGATTCATATGGATTTTTTTAATCATTTGTGCCAATCCATATACCTAGGCTTCACAATGAAATGCAAATTGCCAATAACTTTCTGTATTTAAATATATTGCTTACTTTACTGAAATACAGAGAAGGTGATGACGCTGAGCTTTTGTATGAAATATTAAAGGAAATACCGTAATATTAATGTAAAATGCATATGCCTTATTCTCTCTCTCTCTGTCTTTTTCTTTCTATATATATATATATAGAAAGAAAAAAAAAAAAAATATATATATATATATATATATATATATATATATATACAGTAAAAAATTTCAGTATTACATTCAAAAGGTAGTATGCGTTGGTAATGTTTAGGTTAGGAAATAATTGAAAGTGATTGAAAATAATTGAAAATCTGGTCAAGTCAAAGGAAGTCAACAGATGGTCCTCAATACATAATATAAAACATTCATTAATTTTCAAAATCTTTTGTGCCAAGTGTTTTTATCACACAGTCAGAAATATAAAACATCCTTTACTGGTGTATCATTAGCTTGTAAAGATTGTGGATGTATATTTTTTTTATAATATAAAAAGAGTTTGTGTAAAAAGTGTATCAGACCCCACACATAGAATGAACGGATTCACTTGCAACTGTAAAAAAGGGTTAACTGATGAATGGATTTAGGTTAATAACTTAAAGGGATAGACTTGTTTAAATCTATTACAATAAAACAAACCTTGCTCATGTCTTGAGGATATGGAGGCCAGGTTTCCATTCATGTCTTGGCATTCTTGCCTAGCTGCATGCCATGTTAGGTTTTGGTTTTTTATGATCTTGTAGCACTGAAATTAAGACATAAAACATAATGTACACCTCACGTGCATAAAAAAAAATACAATACAGCTTCAAAACAAAAATAAACACATAATCTAAAACTTAATACCAGAGGAACAGTTAAGGTAAGTTTAATAATTCCCTGTACATTTTAAGCAAAAAGCTTATAATAATACTGAAAGTGATTATATTTAGGATAGCATGTTTAGAAGTTAGAATAGAGTAGAATGCATAAAATAATAAAATAGAACAGAACAGAATAAAAATATTCAATTTCTTTACACTTGTAAATCAACAAATACTTGATAAACCTTATTGCTTGTGACATTTAGCATCTCAGTTAGAGGTGCTAAAAGTCTGATTTTGTGCTTCAGTTTTACTACCGGTATATCTTTTCAGCAGAGAATTTTTACCTTATAGTTCATCTTTTTCCAACCAGTTTGGCAGCTGCCATTTTTAGGCATTGTCGGGGCCACAGTAGCATTGACATGAGGTGAGCCACTGCGCTTACAAATAGATTTATGTTCATATCCACAGTTATAATCATGCCAGAACCCTGTAAAAAGTTACAAGTTAGAAAATATAACTTTTCTTTCTCCTGTTGTTCCTCTGTAAACTTGTAGAGATAGATAAAGCTAAACTGAATTTTAATGGACAAGGCATTTGTAAGCATTACCAAATGTGTAACAAACATGAACATGTCCTTCACTGTCAATAGTTATAAACTAAATATATTTTGTTAAATGGTTTACTACATTTTCAAAGGTAGGAGTGATAGAGAAAATGATAAACAGCATCCAATATGTTATTTATCTGCTGTTTTTAAGCAAAGTGGTCTTTTAAACCTCTAAAGCATACCTCCATTCAAATTTCCACTCATAACAGTTTTACAACATTTGAGTTACTTATATATGCAGTTGCCTACAAAGAATTGTCCTCTCCTCAATTTCTTTGCACTTAAAAAATAATAAATCAAAAGTATAAGAAGCAGTACCTGTTTAAAAATGCATCAAAAATAATCCAGCCTATCCTAAAGCCGAAAATCTTCAAGAAATAACTGCTGGAAGAATTTTAAAAAGAAAAACTTGATACAAAAAAAAAATTACTAAGCAGTAAGAAATCATTAAAAAGGATATTGGATTTTTTAAAGTCAATAGAAATGTTGCTTTTTCTAATATCTTCATTATTGTTCTGATTTGAACCTTTCTATAAAGGCAACAAAGGCAATTAAAAACAAAGAGTGTAAAAGATAAGTTTTTGTGAGTTTTGGCCAATATACTTAAGGGAAATTTATATAAATGTGAAATGAATAGTAGCACTAGTATCATGTAAGTATTGAGGTTTTAAAATAATTGGGCTGTTAAGAGTTTTTATAATTATTTTTGTGTTATTTATATATTTTTTATTAGTAAGAGCTGATTAGTAGCTCATTCTTTATCAAACAGGCCTACTTTCTTGCTTTTTTGTCAAAAAAATTATAAAATAAATATATCTTATTTATTATCACAAGGAAAAGCAAAAACCCAAATTAGATAAAAAATAAATAAATAAATAAAAACCTAAACCATGTAAAAGTCAGTAAACCACTACTGATTAAAACTGTTTTCTTCCATCTTTTCTGTTTCTAAAGTTAAATTTGAACCTTTTATTTTCAGGCTGGTTTAGATGAGTGTTCTTTGAAAATTGCATTTGTCTAAAGGTGTCTTGGCGTTGTAGAGTTTTCAGAGCCAATGGTTTATTTGACCTTTTATGGTCATTACTGATGATACTGATTAATCATCATAGATTGTCAGGGATCATATTTTAAAGAACATATGTTATAGTGAATTTGTTTATCAGTGTTTGTATTAAAATTTGTACTTACCATGGAATGTCCTCATAACAACACAGTTTTCATCAGAGTTTTTGAAACTGGGTTCGTCAACATCCCACATTTGAAAAATGACTGGAGAGCCATCCATCCATCTTAATACAGCAAAATATACAACAGTCAAAAACAACATATGTAACTAAAAACTAGCTAATTAGAAAACTTTATTGGATTCAATACTATAAATCAGTTACTTTCCATTGATTTTTAGTTATACATTTTTTGAAAGGAACTCACAAACAGGATGATTTATGGTTTTTTTTTTTTTCTCCCCAAGACATGTTTAGAATATTTACTTACTGAAATGATTTGTCAAGATCCACCGTCAGACCAATCCAAAAGGAACCCCACTTTTTGGATATCTGAACTCAAACAAAGGTTTATTTTAGATTTTGAATAAAGAACGTATATATGACAGAAATTTGCAAAGTAGTTCATAAGGTAAATCAGTTCTTTACCAGTTATTTGTGTAATTCCAATAAAAGGTTAAAAACACCTGGATTGAAACTTTTGATCTCCATCTAAAGACTTTTTTTAAACTTAGGACTTGTCAGGGAAAATTTTTCCGTGCTTTAAACTGTTCGGAAATGTGTCTTTTTTGACCTTTAAATTCACATGCAGAATTGACTCCACCAAACAATCAGATGTTACTACTGCCATTGCTGGCCTGGGAGACTAAGAGTTATTTACTTGCAAGAAGTATGAAATATTTTGAAATTGTAGGAAATACTTTGTTGAAGGTTAACTTCTCATTAAGTTTCATTTTTTATTATGTTACTGCTTGTACATATATTTTTTTTTTACATCCCGCTGCCAGCTCCTTTCTCAGCTTTTTAAATTCCTTTTCCCTTCCTGATGTGGAAAGTCAAAAGTCTGCTTGAGTGAAACTCCTTTACTTAGAGCTGTTGCTTTACTGTCTCTTTTGGTTTCCTTTGAAGACCAGTCATAACCTGTGTGGGGCAAGATGATCTGTGAACAGCTTTCTGCTACCTTATTCAGATAATCTGTGATGTTGGAGACTGAAACCTGCAATTTTAGATGTTGGGAGATTAGATTGGTTGTAAGAGTCTAGTGCCTTGGTTTAAGTAGAAGTGAAACCAAGACATCCGGACTACTGCTGTTTTAAGAGCAGCTCTCAGGTGGCCTGAAAGGCAAAACGTTTCCTTCCTTTTTTTTGCATTTCCTACCGAATAAAAGACCAGGTTTAGAACAACTTCATATAAATTACCCAATAAAACTCTTAGTAACCCCTTGTTAACGATGGAAGTAAGAACCATTTTTGAGGGATTTTATTATTTAAATTCCATTTAGTTTTTCCAACTTTAAAAACTATGATGGTAATCTTTAATATGAAATCCCAATAACATGCATAAAATTTAAAGTTTGTGTGATAAAATCTCAAAAAATTTCAGCTATATAAAGAATTTCAATCATACTGTACATCAAAAATGGCTAATTAAATAGCAATGAAGAATTTCATAAATATATGCTGCAAAAGATTAACTTTTTAGTGAGTTAAATTTTAATATAATAATTGAATAGTATTATTTCATGATGAGGTAAGAATAAACCTACCTGTTTCCACAGAAAAATACGCTCTGCTTCACTGTCAATGGTTACAAGGTCACCATGCTTCTCTTTGCAGGATTGTCGAGCATCTTCATTGGCCATTGTTTTTGTTTCAATAAAGTACTGATTTCCATTCCATTCCAGCCACCCATCTGAGGTACGGTTATAATCTGTTCATTTGCGATAACACATAATACATTAGATTTATTTGCAATTCTGATTTGTAGTTTCTTTGGCTAAGAGGACTAAGCTTCATAAACATGGAAATGCATCTGCATTAGGTCAAATAAAAAAACATATTGTTAACTAATCAAAAATACTTTTTTGTCTGCTGCCGTAATGCAGCAATTTTTAGACAACCATCGAGATCTAGTATATATACAGTATATATATATATATATATATATATATATATATATATATATATATATATATATATATATATATATATATATATATATATATGTATATGTATAGTTCAACCTGGAGAGACTCACACAGATAAAAGCTGCAATTTGAATTCCATTTCAATTTATTTATACAGTTAGCATAGAATATTGGTCAAAAAATTTTCTATCCAAGGGAAACCAGTTGATTACATGCACTTATCGACTCTGCACTCCCTCACACTGAGCATGCATCTAACTCCCTTTTAACAGGAGGAAACTTTAAACAGAACCAGGCTCAGTTTTTTCAGTAGTTTTTCATCATGTTTCTATCTTTGTTTGCTTTTACTCTGCTACTAATTTTCTTTATTTTAACAGCTATCTAAAAGTTTTTTATTGTTTTACGTTTTGTTTGGATTATTTTGTATCTTCATTGCTTCACTGTCACACCTATTACCATTTTTTCTAATTTTGCTTGTAAAGCACATTGTGCAGCATACTGTAAATCATTGTAAATCTGCTATATAGATTAATTTGACCTTAGCTCTGACCTTGCTCTGCATAGGTCAGAGTCAATTAAAAGAACAAATAAAAAGAGAGTTATTGTATTTATGTTTAAACATAAAACACACACCTGGGGTCGGAGGGGGTGGAGGTGACTTTGGAGTGACTCCTACATATACATAAACAAAGCACCAGAAATCATTAACAAGATGGCATGATTAAGAACAAGCAATATATTTGTAACATTAAAAATAACATTGACGGTTATCTAATAGCAGCTCTACAAAACTGTAGCATACAACCACTTTTTACCTGTAGGGATCTGACAAATCCAGCCTTTATATCCCTCGCATTGATTATCATTCCAAGATCCACTTTGGTCCCAATGACGTTGATAAAATTCAACACAAGATTCAACTTTGTTTTTGTTGTTTGGCTCTCCACTTTGCCAGTGTTGAAAGTTTACCTGTTAACAGATGTTACAGCATAGATCTTAAACTGTTTGGAAAAGGATAAAAAGAAAAGACAACCATTTACTCACTGGAGAACCGTCACTCCAAACATAGCCAGTGTCCTGGTCAGGGGCACTGAGTCCAATCCAGAGGTTGCTATATCTGCAAGGCCACAAATAAGTGTAGCATATCATTATTTATATAGTAGTTCTTTTCCACAATTTTATATTAGCATTTTCAGATATTACTTTAATAATAACAAAAGGATACTGCTCATCTTCTAAAAAAACAGTCAAGAATAAACTAATAAGAACATACTGTGGTGAATGCCAATGAAAAACTACTTTGTTGTGACACAACACTGCTTGAACACATAATTATGGTCTGACCACCGAATGACTGTCATGCTCCACCCTTTTTGTGACTGGGATTATGTCTCTTTAAGGAGGTTATAGCTAGCAATAGTAACAATGCAGGCTACGTGACTGCTGAGCTGTGCACCCTGTTGAAGAGGAGAATAGCACAGCTGCGCAAACTAAACCCAGACGTCATGCCCAAAAGGCGAATAAGCTGGAGGAAAAACTGCGATGCACCGACATACAGTTTAAAAACCAAAGCGCCGAACAATTCAATCTCTTTTTCCACCGGGCGTATGCTCGTCAGGAGAGACAAATTCCACATGGGTTTTTTCCTGCAAGCTAGCTGAGCATAGCTACCCCCTTTTATCTTTTCATTAAAAGGCGATGACTGCGGTGTACCACTGTGCCGACCCGCTGAGATTGGTTGGATGGAGCCTGCGACAGCGCTGCTGCTTGCAGGAACCTAGAATTGTAATGCGGTCGAATGACAGGTGGGCGCTCTGGTCGATAACCGTTTAAGTTACCTACACCAATTGAGTCAGACTGCTCTAAATTTTCCCCCGAGAACTGACCCGGTTTGGGAGGTTGGGATTCAAACCCGGGTTGACTGCATCGAGGACTAAGGCTACCTATATGTGTCGTGTGCACTAACCACTGCATCACCTGCATGCATATGTTGTGAGTTGTTAAACTTATTGTCTGGAGTTTTATAGTCTAACCTCCCCCTTTTGTAATAGGATAGGAGCAGCCATTTTATTCCACAAGCTAATATACGCGCACCTATGTAGTCAAACCCTCCCCTCCGGGTCAACTGATAAGGTTCACCATTCTGTGATTCACACTCCCTGGTATTTTTCCAGCTTGTTGCTCCACCTCGTCGACCGCATGGTAAGGGTCAGCCATCTTGCTAAGTACTCCAGAACCTAGGAAAGCCCCCGCCCTTTTTTGCTAGGTTAGATGAATGTAGCGTTGTCGCCATGCTCCAATGCAAATTGTTAATACAATTGTAAAAATTAACTATTTTTAAGCTGAATGTGATTGTGTTGTTTTAACTGCACCTATTATTGCCATTATATCTGCTGCTATTTTGAACAAACGCCATTGAATGTATTGACATTTGGCCTACCTTGGACAATCCCCTAAAGCCATTTAAACAGACTCGTAGAACCCCTTTTCCCCTCTTTCCAAACTATTCATTAGCCTACATACTGTTTATTTAGTGTTTGCATAGATTTTAAATTTCTTATAATCCCAGATTGTAGAAATAAATTCATCATTATTTTAACCTGTAGTCATTTGTGCTTTTTGTACAGCGAGTGGTTTATCACTCAGGCCAGTTCCACCCTTCTTTTGAAGGTGACATTTGAATAAACAGAGACAACATTTCTTTGGTTTGTAATTAAAAGCTCTCCTGATAGCCTAGCCTAAGTCACTAAACTGGTGAGAATAACTACATTTTAACAACTGGTCCACAAGCTATCCGGAGTGTGAAAAGAGAAAAATTCTGGTGAGAAAAAAGGTTATAGTTATAATTATTCAACTAAGAACATTAAATTGGTTTTATCCTCAATTTTGAAGGATTTAAAAAATGAACTAAAACTTCCGCTCTAGTTAATCATATATTCATAATCTACAGGTAAAATATCACAACAACTTCATGCAACAGTACAGTATGTTCACAAACCTGCTGTACTCCTGTCTCTCCAGTTGTTGCTCAGCAGCACTGTGGAAGCTTATTAGATCTCCTCCAATTGCTCTGCAGTATTTCTGAGCCTCAAACCAGGTCTTACCCTCTGCCGTCTCAAATATCTTAAACACATGAAGTTCAGCTATTGTTATATGTCAGTTTAGATGCAACCTGATTTTTCACAATGAGCAAAAGTCAAGTGGTTGGTTTATCTACATCAGCTTGTAGATAAACCAGCTGTTAATCAGTTAGCTGTCATTATTAAATGTCTGTCTGTCTGTCTGTCTGTCTGTCTGTCTGTCTGTCTAATGAAAAATATATATGTATAGGGATTATCTAGTTAATCCATCCCATCTATCCATTTTCTGTCACGCTTATCCCAAACGGGGTCGCAAGGGGTGCTGGCGCCGATCTCCAGCTGTCTATGGGTACCAGTCCATCGCAGGGCAAGGTAGCCAGTCCATCGCAGCTCAACACACAAACAAACAGGACAAACAACCTAAGGGGAATTGAGTGAAGCCAATTAACATAACAGTCATGTTTTAGACTGTGGGAGGGAGCTGGGGTACCCAGAGAGAACCCACACATGCTCAGGGGGAATTCCATGCAGAAAGACCCCATACCATATCCATATATATATATATATATATATATATATATATATATATATATATATATATATATATACATTGATTCAAAAAATCACATTTGCTGTTATTTCTTTCAAACTAATAAACATTTAAACATGTACAATTTAAATGTATTTTGCGTCAATTATTTCGGAATTTAGAAATATCAAATGTTTTATACTTTCTTCTGATGGATGAAAATTGAATAAACCTTGCAGTCTTGCAGTGTAGAAATTAACAACTTTTAAAGATTTTACCTTATAGCAGACTTGTCTTGATTTTACTTTGGTCCATTCGGCTGCACACTGGACAGAGGGAACAGTTGGTGTTGCAAGAGTCTCATTTGCCCCCTCTGCCAGATATTTACAGATGTACTTCTCTCTATTGGCACAAGACAAAACATCCCAGAGGCCCGCAGAACTACCAGTTGCCATTGCGACACAACCCTGGTTGTGGCCTTGTTTTTAGAGAGATTAAAAGCTGTCATTTCAAAATGTACTTTCAAGCACGTCATATGAACAGTAAGGTTTTCTTACCTGGCATTTCACTGTTCCAGTGAGTATATCTGACTGGTCTCTCATTGGTCCACTCAAAAACTTCTTGGTTTTTCTGGTTTGAAAGCCCTAACCAGAAATGTTTCTCCGGTCTCAGACCCACCAAGCTGACTAGAAACGCGTTGTCCACCCTGAAAATATGTATAACAAAATCATACATAATTTAGTTTATTTAAGTTTAATTTCCATCCATCCATCCATCCATCCATCATCTTCCATTTATCTGGGGTTGCGGGGCTAGCGGCTTCAGTAGAGAGGCCCTTAAATTCCTCCACTAGGGATCCTCCCCGACCCGGAGAAGGCACTCTACCATTTTCCAGCTCAGGACCATGGTCTTTGATTTAGAGGCACTTATCTCTATCCCAGCCCCTTCACACTTGGCTGCAAACCACTCCAGTGAGAGCTGTAGATAACGTCCTGATGAAGGCAATAGAATCACATCATCCACAAATAGCAGAGATGCGATCCTAACACCACCAAAATAGATCCCATCTTGGCTGTGCCTAGAAATTCTGTCCATAAAAGTGAACAGAATCTGTGACAAAAGGCAACCTTGGCGGAGTCCAACTCTCATCAGAAACAAGTCTGACATACTAACAGCAAAGCGGACCAGGCTCTGACACTGGTCATACAGAGAACTAACAGCCCTTATTAAAGGGCCCAGGGCTCCATACTCCTGGAGTACCCCCCACAGGACCCCCAGAAGGACGCGGTCGAATGTCTTCTCCAGATCCACAAAACACATGTAGACTGGTTTTGGTAAACTCCCATGCACCCTCCAGGAACCTGCTGAGGGTGTAGAGCTGGTCAAGTGTTCCACGGCCAGGATGAAAACTACACCATTTCTCCTGAAAGATTCGACTATCCAACAGACCCTCCTTTCCAGAACCCCGGAATAAACCTTACTAAGTAGGCTTAAGAGTGTGATTCCTCTGTAGTTGGAACACACCCTCCGGGGGACCACCACCCCAGTATGTCAATCCAGGGGAACTACCCCTGATGTTCACACAATGTTGCAGAGTTGCGTTAACCAACACAGCCCCACAACATCCACAGCCCTAAGGTACTCAGGGCGAATCTCATCCACCCCTGGAGCCTTGCCACCGAGGAACTTTTTAACCACCTCAATGACTTTAGCAAGAGAGATGGGAGGACCCAAGCCGGAGACCTCAGGCTCTCCAATGGAAGACATGTTGGTGGGATTAAGGAGGTGTTCAAAGTACTCCACCCACCGACATACAACGTCCCAAGTCGAGGTCAGCAGCACACCACCCCCACTATAAATAGTGTTGGTACTGCACTGCTTCACCTCCTGAGACGCCGGATCGTGGACCAGAATCGCTTCGAAGCCATACGAAGCCGCACGCCCCAGTTTTTGCCTCAGCGACCAGCCAAGCCACCTGCCGCTTTGACTGCCGGTACATATCAGCTGCTTCTGTATATATATGTATGTATATACACACGTGTGTATATATATATATATATATATATATATATATATATATATATATATATATATATATATATATATATATATATATATATATATATATATATGTATATATATATATATATATATATATATATGTATATATATATATATATATATATATATATATATATGTATATATATATATATATATAAAATACATACCTAAATATACATACCTGGTTGAAACATCAGTTAAATACGAGTTTGATCTCTGGCAGTCTTCTTTTGCCTCTCCAAATGTCTTTCTCTGAGTGCCGGTGAAGTAACAGTAGGAGCCATACCTTCTCCAACCCTTTTTGGTAAAATAAAGACATTTTTATAAATGAAGTTATATACAATTTTTCAAACAGGAATCTTTAACCCACATCTGTAACCCATATATATATATATATATATATATATATATATATATATATATATATATATATATATATATACAGGCATCTTTAAATGTCTAGTGAAAATCTCCACTATAATAACTGTGCTCCATGAATTTCTGGCACTAGATCAGAGGAATTATGTAACTGTTTTTTTTTTTTTTATTGTTTTTTTTTTTTTCTTATCTTTTCCACTTTCCTTAAATAATTAAAATAATAAAATAAAGGATAAAATTTCGAAAAATATTTATTTTTAGTGATGAAAATTATACTCACAACTTTGCACCCTGTATCCTGCTGTCCTTCTTCTTCAGAGGGTTCAGAAGCACTGGTTTTCATACAAACAAAGCCATGTTTCTCCTTACAGTCCCGATCAGCCCAGTTTCCACTCTACAGGAAGGATATGCACAAAAATGTTCAATTTAAAAAGAGGCTATCACATCAAAGCATATTTCACATAAGAATAATGCAATAATAATGCAGACAAAACAGAAGTTATAGTTTTTGGACCAGAGTCTCTGAAAAAGAAACTGATTAGCCAGTCACTTCATTTGGATGGGATTAAACTGATTTCAGATAATAAAGTAAAAAATCTTGGTGTTATTTTTGATCAGGACCTGTCATTTAAATCCCATATCAAAGAGGTTTCTAGAATTTCCTTCTTTCATCTGAGGAACATTGCAAAAATTAGAAATATCCTGTCCAGGGGTGATGCTGAGAAACTAGTCCATGCATTTGTTACTTCAAGGCTGGACTATTGTAATTCTTTACTATCAGGAAGTCCACAAACTGTAGTTAAAAGCCTTCAGCTGATCCAAAATGCTGCAGCCAGAGTTCTAATGAAAATGAAAAAGAGAGATCATATCTCTCCTATCCTGGCTTCTCTTCATTGGCTTCCTGTTAAATCAAGAATAGAATTTAAAATCCTCCTTCTCACATATAAAGCCTTAAATGGCCAAGCTCCATCTTATATCAGAGATCTGATTGTTCCTTATGTTCCTAACAGAGCACTTCGCTCTCAATCTGCAGGTTTACTAGTGGTTCCTAGAATTTCTAAAAGTAGAATGGGACGCAGATCTTTTAGTTATCAGGCTCCTCTCCTGTGGAACCAACTACCAGTTTTAGTCCGTGAGGCAGACACCCTGTCTACTTTTAAGGCTAGGCTTAAAACTTTCATTTTTGATAAAGCTTATAGTTAGGGTGGCTCAGGTTATCCTGAGCTATCTCTATAGTTATGCTGCTATAGGCTTAGACTTTTGGAGGACATAGGGACCCCCCATTTCATCATTCTGCTTCATTTTCTCTCTGTTCTCCTATTCTGCAGAATCTGTTAGTTCAATCTCTAACCTTCTGCTCTCTCTGCTTTTCCTCAGAGTAGCTTTGCCTCGTCTGTTCCTGTTTGGCTGTGACGTCATCCTGGAAAAAAACATCAGCTGTGCTGCTTCTATCAACACCCTTGTTAATAGATGTTGGAGATCGGCCTGTTTTCCAGTGTGGTCCTGTTTCTCTGACCGTGACTGAGTGGATGTGCTCTCTTCGTCCTCTGGCATGGGAGCTGCCTTGGAGCTCGTCTGCCTGGCTGTGTGTTTCCTGGACGGGGCCGCCTTTTACAGCTGCTTTTTGTATCTCTGCTTCTGTCTCCTTGAACCCCAGTCGGCCTCGGCAGATGGCCGCTCACACTGAGCCTGGTTCTGCTGGAGGTTTCTTCCTGTTAAAAGGGAGTTTTTCCTCTCCACTGTCGCTACAAGCATGCTTAGTGTGGGGGATTGTATTTGAGTCAATGAGTCAATGCAATCAACTGGTTTTCCTTAGATAGAAAACTTTGTATCAATTTGACTGTATTATCTGGTTGAACTGTAAAGTGCCTTGAGATGACATGTGTTGTGAATTTGGCGCTATATAAATAAACTGAATTGAATTGAATTGAATTAATCTTAGACTGTAAAATTTTAAACATATTAGATTACATATGCATTTTCACTTCACCCTGTGAAATTTACCTACTTCAAATCTTTCTGTTCATGAGGCCTTCCAACATTAAAAACATTTAACATAAAAGAGTGGGGAAAAATGTTACCATGTGTATTATCTCACATACAACAATAGGTCAAAACTCTAAGATGAAACACATAATATAAAAAAATTACAAATTGTCATCTATACATCTACTGTCTTTCCTTCATTTCAAACTGGTTACCAAGGGTAAGGGGTATTGAATAGAATCAAGACCTTTCTCCTCCTGTAATCCCTTCCAGCTCCCTCTGGGTGTTCCAAGACCAGACAGGAAACATTATTCCTACAGTAAGGTTTTCCTTTTAGAGGGATATGTTTGGTAGTCCTCCAAAAGGAGATACCCAAAAGGCACCTGACCAGATTCCTGAACCACCTCAAATGACTTCTCTTGATATGGAGAAGCAGTGATTACACTTTGAGTTTTGTTAAGATGACAGAGCTCCCCATAGTATTTCTTAGGACCCATTTTAGAAAAAACTGATTTCAGCCACTGTCTTTATACAAATCATTTTATCTTATGTGCATACTGTAGGTATGGAATATCAAAGACCAGTTGATTTAAAGTTTAACTTTTTCAACATAGCTTTTTTTTTTTTTTTATCACATCAGATCAGAGCAGATAGTGCAGGTCCATCGTATTTCACATTTTCTTATTAAAAAAATATATTTTATACCTCTCCCCTAATCAGAACACAGTCTTCATGATCTGATGCAGCAGCTGGTCTTCCAAACTCCCAGCTGGTGAAGCTAACTTTGCTGTGGTCAGTCCAGTCAAACAACCTTTCTCTTTTTATGTCATTAAGTCCAATCCAAAGCTCGTCAGTTGGGGCTACAGACAGAACAAATAAAATGTTTTTTTTTAATAATATATACTGTATAATCAGTACATTGTATGACTTAATCATCTTCAATATGTATGCTAATTTTGAACATTTATGATGCTGTAAAAGGGCTTCTGGATGCCTTCAAAGGTATGTTATGTCTGCTTTGTCAAGTTTACATTATGACATGCTGCTATATCTGTGTTTATTGTGCTTTGGTGCTCGCTATGTCCACAAAATGAACTTGGTGGTTGAATTGTTGAGAATATAACCTTTCTATATTGGTAAAAATTTTACTGGTGGAATTTTATGCATTTACTCCACTTAACATCCAACCGGTAGTTTTAAAGAGGTTAAAGGAATAATGAAAAGGATATAAATGCATGTTTATTTTAGCTGTTTTAAGAAAAAGTTGAATTGCGGTATTCAAAGTTGAAAGGCCAGTATAAAAATAAGGGTACCATATCCAAGCTGAGAGATAACAAAACTCTGGTCCTCTGTGTTTCGGATACTCGCTAAGTCTCCTCCCTCCTTACGACAGGTTTGTTGAGCATCAGACCAGCTTTTTCCAGTGCGGTCAAGACGGAAGCAATGACCATTGTATGGAATCCATGGTGTTGAACAGAATCCCATGTCAAGACCTGATTTGAAGATATGCAAAAATATCAATATTCATTTAAGGAAGTTTGGCAGTGTCATTTATTCATTTTAGATAATAGAATTAGACTATTAGTTACCCTCAGTTGGAGAAGGTAGAACTCCTTCACTGTAGCAAATGTAGCCCAGTTTCTTGTTGCATTTTGAACTTTGCCATGAGTATCTTAAAGCACCATCCATCAACCCACAGCTAAATGCTGCATTGGTAAGTGGATGTCCTAAAACCACCAGGATAGACAACCATAAGTGTGAGGCAGCATTATTATGATGCAACATGCAGAGTAGCCAAAGATTGTGCTCAACTAAGAGTAGCCATTGTTCAAAAAAACTTATTAAGTAAAAATAAATAAAAGCTAAGGGGAAAAAGTAGTTCTGTAAAAAAAAGTGATCATAACATCTGAATCATGTACTAAACAAAAAAATTAAAAGTTGACTATACTGACGAAGAATTATATTAAATCAACAAAGCTTTTATACAGCAAGAATTATCCCTTTGACATAAAATATAATCTTAATAACTGGTAGATTTTGTGTTAAACAAGTCTGTATTTATTCTGTGAAGTTTCTTACAGTGAATAGAGTAGCCAGAGCTTTTGCTCAAGTAAAGGTATAAATTACAATGCAGTAAAGTACTCCTAAAAGCATTCTTTTTGAAAAGATTTATTCAAGTAAATGTAACTATTATTACTTTTCATACTTACTAGGATTTTTTAATGTGCTAAGTTAAGGTCTAGGATGTTTCAGTACTTGCTTTTAAAAGGGTAAAGACAAGCTGATTGTGAAAGCAACTGCAAATTTAATTCTTTATACCTTTTTTAAGCAATACCAGAAATATTTAGATTGAGATGTTAAGACATGTTAGTAGAGCTCAAAAGAAGTAGGTAGACTTCCAGCACTAATTATAAAAAAATCTTAAAAATGATCACATTTAAATTCTTGTGTTAGATTCATATTTTTGTAAGATAACAAATTTATACTTGCTTTTAAACTGTCTGAGATTGTCACTCCTATTGATTTCTATATCTAACCCATTCCACAAAATATTCCCTGCTTGGCTAAGCCCCAAACTTTTAAGTGTAAACCACATCTTCTCAACACATATTCTCCTATCAGTTTGTAATTCCCCTTCTCTATTGTTTAACATTTTTGTATATTGCAAGGAAGTGGATCAAGGCTTGCATTGTACACTACAGCAAGAATTAAAAAATGTAATTAAGTCTTTGAGTTTCAATATGTGAGATTTTAAGAAACTTCTATTAATATAATCACTGTATACAACATTATGAGTGATTCATATGGCTTTTTTCTGAAGTTTGATTAATCTAGATTACCTTTGTACGTATTACGCCAAACCTCTATGCAATAACTAATGCAATGAAGGACTAATGAATTGTGCCTTAGTAATAATAATAATGCCTTACTCTTGACAGAAATGATACACTTCTTGCCATTTTTGATTCAATATTTTCTATTTGCAGTTTTAAGCTTACATCATGACTTAAAATCATGAATATAGGAAATGATAAAAAAAATATATATAAACCTGAATCCCAATTTAAGTAACGAAATGGGCTCCCATTGGTCCATTTCCAGCCATTTTCAGAATCCAAGGTTAACCCAGTCCAAAGTTTGTATCCTTGGTGGATACCTCCTGGCTCGAGTAAAGCTGTGAGAAAGAATCAAAAGGGAGACAAAATGAAGCTCATCTATATATCTACCTGTCTGAGGTTCCATAATTCATTCCTAGTTGCTTAAAATTTTTAGTTCATCTCATAAGTTGCTGTACCTGTGATATAAGCCTGCTCATTAGGATCTGTGATGCTGAGCAAGGAGGCACTCTGTTGCTTACAACTTTTTTCAGCCTCCCACCATGTCAAAGCAGAGTTTGTGTTCAGCTGATAAACTGCTCCATTTGTTGGATGTCTGATCCACTTGTCCTTAGCTGCAAAACATTATATACAGGTGAATCTAAATACATTTCAATATCAATTAAACATTCAGTTATTTTAGTAACCCCACACAAAAAGTTTATTTATTTTTTACATTTAATAGATTTATTATAAACAGGGTGAAACAAAATCAAGTGTAGGTAGTTATTTGGAATGTCAGTTGCAGCATGATTGCTGGTTGGAACCATAAGACTGTCAGTCTAGATCCCTGACCTAGACCCTTAACCCCACAATCCTCCCCAAGCTCTGCTCACTGCTCACTGCTCCCTAAAGGATTGGTTAAAAGCATTTATTTTGTGATATGCAATTGCAATGACCAATAAAGGTGATTATTATTCACTTGACAATAAAGTTGAGTGATACCATGATCTTTAAAATGGATATTAGTATTCTTTTAGCAATGTAGGCACTACCATGCCCTACTAGAAATTAAATCAGCATCTCTATAAAGCTGTATCGAGTTACATTTTAAGACCTATGGTGATTTATCAATGATCATTTGGTGTAAATTAGCACAAAAACATACATTGGAAACTTGGTCATCTCCTATTGTTACTAGGAAAAAAATTTTCATGACTCACTGTTTGTTGGGCAGTACCCCCACATCTCATGTTCGTATTTAGTTTCAACAGCACACCAAGGACGCTCTTCTGAAGTGCAGTCTGAGTACCACTGGTTATTATAATAGAAAGGGAACATGCAAGGCCTTCCTGCGGCATTTCCTTCAATAGTGAAAAGTTCTAAAAAAAAAAAAAACACATTAAAAACAATATATATATATTTATATACATATAGTTTTACACACGTACAGAGAGAAATATAAATAAGTTACTCCATTCTTGTAAACAATGGAGTTGGATACCTCTATGTGTTCTAGTGCATGGTCCACTGTGAGTCCCTGAGATTGTGAGCTGAGAGTTGGGTCCAGTTGCTCTCGATAGTACGGCTGTACTGTCAGCTTTGAGCTCAACATAAAGCTCCTGGCCTTGGAGGGCGAGCAGCGTTTCATTCTTACATTCCCACTTTTGGTATTTACTTGTTTCATCACAGTCATAAAAGGTTACTTTGCTCCCCACAGTGTCTCCCTCGACTCCCAGGCATTTATTTTTCCCAGGTACCAGCAATCGTTCAGCAGTTGTCCAGCGTATTTCTTGGCAAATAGAATCATGTTTAACCAAGCAAAAACCAGCTTTGTTGTTAAGCTTGAATGGTGAATCTGCAAAGAGAATTTGTCTTCGTGAAAATTAAATAGATTTTTATGTTATCAGTAAGATGTTTCACTTTACATTAAGCGCAAACCAAATATATAATAATTAGACATATATGCTTCTCTTAATCTAAAAAAGTAAAACATTAATAATAAAAGTTGGAATACTGCACCGTCTGATGCCATGCACTGCAGAATATTTAGTAGCAGCGCAAAGATCATCCATATGACTCTCATGATTTTCAGAGATTTTTCCTCAGCCAAAGTGTGCACCCTTTGCTGAGTGTTGTTGGTCTATATGAAGAAGTAGGGGGCTTTTATTTGCACTGATGCCTCCTGCTACCTACGTCATCGGATCCCTTTTTTTCATTCTTTCTAATCAGTCAGCATTATGTCCCAGATTTGTTTGGTTTTTTCTCTTCTCACAAACAGGGAAGTACATTTCCCGTCACTTGAATGAGCTGTTGGTTCGAAGGAAGGGACTATAAAGTTGTGACTTCAGATGGTCTACAGGAACAACAGGGACAAGTCTACAGGGAAATACATACGTACTTAAACCGAGACCGCAGACAAACTGACTTTCTGCGGTTGCAAAAGAAGGGCCTTTAGGATACCTCATGCTTAACAGCATGTCGATTGTTAAACTGAAAAGTTTCCTCAGAGTGCTCTCCATAATTTAATTTGCTTTCCTGATTATTACTTGTGGTAAAGGACCAGGCTCCAGATGTTTAAAGAACAGATAAAACCCACTATATGACCTTAACCTGGTTGATGATGACAGCGCTGGGGATTGTGTAGAGACATCTACCAAATCTGGTATCAGATGGTCCAGATGAAAACCCGCATATCACATCATAACCAAGCAACTCACCATATGCCCCACATCGATCAGGAAAACAATACGAATATTAAATAAAAACAAAAATACTTTAAAATCTGTTTTGTTCTCCTAAAGCTTTCCAAACAGTCACCCTACTGCAGCCAGACAATGACGTCCCATCTTACCTCCAAGACTTCCTAAGACACAAACAAACAAGATTATCCCTGCTGACAATTAAATAGACCACCAGACCGTTTCATAGACTGCTCTGTCACAAGCTTTACTTTATGTGTATGCTGCATCTCCATGCACATACTTTTCTTACAGTTATGTTTCTGTCATTTAAAAATGTTTGTTATTATTCATCAAAGAATGAAGGACTTTTAATTATATTCCTCCTGTGGGGGTTGGTATTCAGTGTGCTCTCTAAAGATGTATATTTTACCTTATTTTTTATTTGTGTTTCTATTTTTTGTTTAGATCTATAGTTCTTATCTAGTCATTAACAATGTTTCATGTTCGCACCTTTATTTATCACTAAATTTGCTATGTACAGGATCTGTTAATGTAAGCAGACAGCCCCTTCTTTATGAATGCTGTGGAACAGCTTTAATCTCCCATGTCTTACATGACACAAACTTGTGATGGATGACGGTGGCTGGCTGATGTTATTGTAAATGTATATTTCTTTGGTGATAAAAACCTTTTTCTTTAATCAGCTGCTTTCGCTTACCTGCCGGCTGCTAGGTCCACTGTTAAAAACACATTACCTTTCCATTTATAACTGCTGGGTAAATCTAAAAGTACATAATGATGTTTGCAAGAGAACTTTATTTTGTGAAATTAGTGTATTTGGGTGAATTTTTCAACCCGCTAAAAACGTTAGCCTCCATATTGCTTCTAAAATACTAAAGTCTCTCTGGGCAGGGAGTGGCAAAGCCTGCATAGATGGACAGTCTGGCTTCTTAACAAGAGACTAGAGAAAATCTAAAAAGATAGCTTTTGTTGAGATCAACATAAGTTTCATATTCATATATCCATAATTTTATGATCAGTGATTTTTTTGAAACCACTGATCTTAAAATGCTGGGTCTCTTAGGAGCAAGAAATAAGGTAAAAGGTAAGACATCACCAAAACATAAAGGAGCTTGAGTAAAACATTTGAGCATTACTAGAGAGATGAAATAAACAGAGCAGATCTTTGTACACACCTGATCTAAATTGCGCCTTATGTATTTTGAAGGAGAATGAAGGGCTTATTTTAATGTGAGAATTTTTTGCTATTATTCCTCTGGTAGTCTTTATTTGAGAGTAAATTAACATGAAGTTGGAATGAGTGAGAGAGGAAACTTGCAACAAAGGTTGACTGTTAAGGATCTGAACCTGAAACCTACCTTTTATGGTCTGTTTGCAAAAAATTCATGCTTGTTTTTGCTATTTTTTTTCCAAAGTGAAACCCAATATTTATCCTCAGTGAAGTTAAAGCAGTTATTAGAAATCAAATTTCTAAATAAGCAGCAGTTGACACTCATTGTGGTTTAAACTGTGCCTCATGAAATGTTTTACTGAGAAGTAAGATAAAATCATTGTCAGCATTCTGAAGACTTCCTTTTAGCAGCTATTTCACAACAGTACAATCAGTTTATTGCGTAAGCTGATTTGTATTAGGTTAAAGTTGGTCTTTGAAAATGTATTCATAAAGTGAAAATGTACATTTTAAAAAAAACATTTTTAAAATTTTATTTGAAAATCAAGACTGTTAGTCATTATGAAACCATATTAAAAATATTGAGAAGCTTTAAAGGAATAAACACTAATAATATTAAATCAAGCTATACTTTCACAGAAAAAAAAGAAGAAAAGGCTCCAAGTTAAAATGCTGGGCTCTGATTAAACACAAAAATACCTCAATATCACAATAAAATATTAAAGAGAAAGTATAAAGTACCCGCAAAAGAAAATCTGTCTAAACATTGTTTTTTGATTAAAAAGTATGATAGTAAAATAACTGTGCTTTATGCGTTAATGGGATATTTTGATATATTCCTAGAAAATGGTCACAGTGGAGAGTGGACCAATAAAACAAGTGTTTGAAAAACATCACTAATTATTGGACTGATATAGTTATTTTCCAAAAAAAAGATACATGTGGAAAGGTTTAATATTTTTTTTTTTACAAAATGTAAAAACAATACACATCATCTAGAGAGTGAGCCTTGCATCTCGCATGTAGTCATCATATATATTCACCAATGGATAGAGAAACAACAGATACTGTTCCTCTTAAATGATTGAATACTCTACAGTAAAAATGAATGAATAGCTTTATTTCAGGTAATCACATAAAAAATATACAGTTTTTATTTGATTTCTGTTATACAACTCAGTAACATGCAAGTCCTACCTAAGCAAAATATATAGATCAGCTTTTGTAAAGTCTATTAAAAAGTAGAAAGAACAGAAAAACTATACTTAATTACATTAGTGTGAGTAAATGTAACCACTTACCCCCGGATGTTTCAACCATTTACAGTAAAATCAATTTTTGAAAATGAATGAAAATAATTTAAAGCTAAATTGCTCTGTGTAATTAATACACTTGAGCTTGATGTTTTTATCTTCTTTCTTTTAAGATTTTTATTTTTGTAATTTCGCTTACATTATGAATTCCAAACACCACAAATGCAGAATATTATTATCTTCTTTTTTTTTTTGCTGTTTTTCAATGTTATATACTTATCACAGGCTGAGGATCATCTTAATATGCCCTCCCCACCAGGTTTTCACTGTTCACCAAACCTGGCTGCAATATGTTGCAGGTTAAAAATGGGATTTCAAAGGAAGCAAAGCCTGATATTGGTGATATACTGTATGATGACCAGACTTCTTGAACAAGAAGAAAGTAAAGCCAGCTCCAACTGCAATCCCAGCAATGACTAGCACAGCTGTTAAACCTGAGTGGAGCCAATGTCTGGAAACTATGCCATGGTCAGCAAAGATTGAAACAGATGAGAAGCAGCAAAAAGTACTTTGACCGAATACCAATGAAAGAAGAAAGTATGACCTACTAGGAGTGGGTGATGGCATTTGAAGTATCACTGGGGGAAAAAAACAATAAATACCATAAAATTATCACAGTAAAACATGTTTGATAAAAAAAGATATTGTTTATTGATTCAAATTTCCTAAAAGATAGCTTCTAATTGTATTATGAGCGACATTAAGAGGGTTTTTAATTGCCACTCTTTTTATTTCTATTTCATGTTATGAGCTATGACTTGGTAAAATACCAGAATTTGTTACAGAGGTACCTTAGATTATGCTTATGATTATGCTATGAAAAAAAAAAATAAAAAATAGGCATTTCAGTTGAAAAGGAAGGGATTTCAGTTGAAAACGCGCGTTTTTTGTGCAGTCTCCAGTCAATCCATCGATGGCTGCTCAGCGACCCACAGAACACCTCACAGAAGCAGTGACAATACTCAACAATATTTTAGCTTCAACGGAGACGATCAGGGCCCTGTCAAAAGCTCTCAATTTACCGGTCGGTCTACATTCCTACCCTCACCTATGTTCATGAAATCTGGAGCATGACCGAAAGAACGAGATCCCGGATACAAGCGGCTGAAATGATTTTCCTACGCAGGGTGGCTGGGCTCTCCCTTAGAGATAGGGTGAGGAGCTCGGTCATTCGGGAGAGGCTCAGTGTAGAGCCGGTTCTCCTCCACATCGAGAGGAGTCAGTTGAGGTGGCTCAGACATCTTCTTAGGATGCTCCCTGGACGCCTCCCTCGGGAGGTGTTCCAGGCACGTCGCACCGGAAGGAGGCCCAGGGGACGACCCAGGACACGCTGGAGAGACTATGTCTCTTGGCTGTCCTGGGAACGCAGAGGGCTTCCCCCAACAGAGCTGGAGGAGGTGTCTGGGAGTCTCTGCTTGGTCTGCTGCCCCTATGGAGGACAAAGCCATGTTTCTTCTTACAGTCACTGTCAGACCAGTTTCTACTCTGCAGGAAGGATATGCAAAAAAATATTTACAATACCATCATATTAAAAGCAGATGTCCTCCATCTAAAAACGTTGAAACAAGTTTCTTTTACAACTATCTTGTACAATTTTCCCCGTCCCAGCTTTTATTTTTTGGCTATTTGTTCTTTTATTAAATTATTATTTATCATTATTATTTAATTTGATTTATTTACTGTATTTCAAAAAAGGAATAACAGCTATTAACAGAAAAAAGACTTCTATCTTCTTTTTTTTTTAAATCAATGCAGATCCTTGAATAGATAGATTTAATTATTAAAGCTTTGTTTATTTCAGTAATTCCAGACAAAATAAAAAAAACACATCTAAAAATTTATTTTAGATTGAAAAAACATATTTTTGATGACTATGAGTTACATTACGGTCTGTTTTCCAGGAAATTTAATTATTATATTAATCAATAAAAAAA